TTTCTACCTTCGTAACTATTCACCCTACTTCCTTCATTTATTCATTCCTACCTCCTTCCCACTCTCCAGCCTTTCTACCTTCCTGTATCTCCCTTACTTTATTTATACCCTCCAGTGTCCTCTATCCCTTGCCTCCTAGCTACACCTATACTCCTTTCTGACTACCTCCCAACCGTCCTACCTTCTTCTTTTCCTATCAACTCTCCTTCTTTCTTTCCCATCTTACCATCTCCCTGTGGTGCTACCTTCTCTTCTTCATCACCCTTCTTCCTTCTTATCACCTAGATACATAGCTACCTACCTTCCTCCTTCCCTTATTTCCTACCTCTCCATCTTTCTAACTACCAATCCTCCTTTATTTATTCACCTTTCTACCTTTCTACCTTTACCTTCCTTACTTCATTTATACCATCCCATATCCTTCCATCCTTCCCTCCTAGCTACACCCACACTCCTTTCTTAATACCTTCCTACCTTCTTACATTCCTATCCTACCTTCCTACCTTTGGTTCTTCAGTCCTACCAACCTTCCTCTCTTACACCTGTCCTGTGCATTTCTACCATCATTTCTTCTTACCAACCTATCTACCTACCCTCCTTCCATGTGTCTTTCCTCTCTTTCCTGTCTCTTTCCTTCCTCCCTTTTTACAATCCTACATACAACAGTACTTAGTCCCTACCTTCTTTGCCACAGCTACCTTTCCCCCTTCCTTGCTACCTTTATATCTGCCTACTTTTCTTCCTCTCTATCTTCCTACCTTTTCTTCCATGTGTCCTACCTATGTTTACTGTCCTTTTTCACAAACCTCCTATCTACCTTAAATCCTTCCTACTTTCATGCCTTTATCTTCCTTGATTCCCTTCTACTTACCCACTATACCCCGTTTCCTTTCTTCTTTCTACCTTTCCACCTGTACTTAGAGTCTTAACATACACCTATCTTCCAACCAATATATCTACTATCCTCCTTTTTCCCTTCCTTTCTCCTCTCTTTCCTAGCTACACCCACACTCCTGCCTTGATACCTACCTTTTTACCTTGTGACTTACCTTAACATCTGCCTTCCACATTTCTTGATACCTTCCTACCTTCATTTCTTCTTAACAACATATCAACTTACCGCCCTTCCTTGTCTCTTTCCTTCTTCCCTTCCTTCCGTCTTGCCATTCTATATATAACAGTCCTTAGTCCCTCCAAAAACCTCCTATCTCCCTACCCTCCTTCCTACCTTCCAACCTCACTACTGCCACATACCTTTTTTTCTGTTTATACCTGCCTACTCACTTCATTCCTTCCTTCCTCCTTACCTTCCCTAGCTACACCTACACTTATTTCTTGATACCTACCTTTCTACCTCGTGTCTACTTGTCTACTTTCCTTCCTTTCTACCTTCTACTTTCCAACTTCTCTACCTACCATTCTTCTATTGACATACATGGATCTTCCAGCCTACATATCTATTACCTTCCTCTTTTCCATCCTTCCTTCCTTCCTTCCTTCCTTCCTTCCCAGCTACACACCTTCTTTCCTGCATACACCATTCTTCCTTCTTCCCTACTTTCCTTCATTTTCAACTGCTGGTATTTATTTTATAGGTTCCTTCTCTCACACTTTTATACACACTTGTCCTAACATTGATTTATTTATTTACATATTTCTTCTACATGTTTGTATCCTGTCTGTGACCTCTCAGGTCTGTTTCTGTGCTGTTGTGTGGATCAGTATGACTTTATAATGTCACATTTTCGTCACACAACGACAGTCATTAGATTATAATGTTATTAAATTCTGATTAGTTGGTGAAAATATGTGTCAACAAATCACAGACAAAAAACAAATCCAGACGTCCGCCATGTTAAATAATTAGTATGCTTCATGTAGCGCCTCATCACTTAGAGTAACAAACTGTTCATTTCCCTCGTCAGCGTGTCCCACCTGCTCGTTTCAGAGGTGTTTAAGGATAAAGATGAAGAGTTTCAATCTTTTCACTTAAACATTAAACTCAAACGATTTTCTCATTAGTAAATGAACATTATCCACACCCAGGAAGAGGTTTCTCTCTTTTTAAGAGGTAAAAGCAGAGTTCCACCTGCAGTTTGAAACCAAACTCTTAACGTTTAGTCGATAACACGCTGACAGAATCATTAATATCTCCGCTCGCTCTCCGACCATTTCTGCCTCCTTTTCCATGAAAAACAATCTCATCATGACTTTGTAAAGAAGTGCAGCAGCTAAAGGTGAAATTTAATTGAAAAAAGCAGCCGGTGTCCATTTCTTAATGCAGCAGCGGCGTGCCAGAAACTCCAAACACGACGTCCATTTCTTAATTCAAGGTTGCTGCGCCAAGATTTATACTGTCAGAGTCCATTTCCTGATGGAGCTGCAGAGCTGCAGGACGTTTATTTAGACCTGCTGCAATACATGACTGGGTTTTATTCACGTCTATAGTTACATTATTATACATGTATCACTTATCTATTTAACAGAATGGATCTAATCGGTTTAATTCTTTATTTTTTATTTACGATAGACTGATAGTATCTGCACTGTTTAGAGGATGTTAACTTTAGAGGAGCTGTTAAAGATTTTCTTTCTTTCTCTCAGTGGGTGAGATTAGAAGATGGATATCAGACAGTTTTAGAGTGAGTTGCATGCTGGAACCAGTGCAGCTTCCTTGTGTCTCGTTGTCACAGTGAGGTTGTCAGGTTCAGTACCACCGTGCCTGCAAAGAAAACAAAACCAAAAACCTGAGCTCACTGAAAGAATCTGGCAACCTGTCCTGAAGGGACTGGGTGGATAAATACCCTGCTGTTCAGCTAAACTCCCCCTAAAACCGCAAACCTTCTGCTCTGTAAGATTCAACAAAAAGAAAAAACTCTGGGCTTATAGGAAAAGCCACCAGACAAAGTAAAAACCAGAGTAAATTCTGTAGAAATAAACGGCAGCCTTACTCTCACTAATGGACATTTCCCTCTTTCCCATGGAGCTTATTTTTTATTTGGTTGTGGAGCAGTTAAGGGAAGACACCCCAGGTTAAGGTTTTAACTGACAGATATCACCATGAAACTTCTTCAGTTGATAACTTGCAGTAATCAACTTTTTATTTTAAAACAATACTTTTCAAATAAAAAGATTTCAGAATTATTATTTTTTGTTTAAATGTGCAAATAAAGCATTATTTGATTAAATATGTGCTAATTTGCTCATTTCCAGAACAGAAATCTGAACATTGGATAAAGCTTAGTTCAAAATATTTGCTTCATTTTGTTGTCATATTAGAGTCAAAAGGTTTTTACAGAGAGGATTTTGGATGTCTCTTTTATCACCCTGATGATTTTATCACCCAACAGCCATAAAAAGATAAATTTTTGCCATGTTTTTAGGAACAAAATGTTTTATAAATCAGGCTAAGAATAATATATAAACAAGCCTCTCTGTAATAACTTTCAGAATATAGACAGGAATCTGGAAAGTTTCATGCTTGTCAGTGCTACTAAAATTGGGATTTTTGGCTCACAATGTGAGAAAAAATCATTTTGAGATCACTTTTAATGATAGGACTCGTAAAATTCCATTCATTTTAGACCAAAAATAAGACGCAAGGGTAAAAAAACAGATATCACCCTTACGCTTCCTAAGTTGATTACTTACCCTAAAGGCAATTATTTTCTAAAATAAATTGTCTTGAATTTTTCAAAAATTCCATGTTTAAATACAAATGAGGCATTATCTGATTAAATCTGCACTTTTTTGCATACATCTCCAGATCAGAAATTTAAACATAAATAATCTTAAATTTGCATTGTGGCCATTTTATGTTATTGAAGCAAAGTAGCACAAAATCTCAAAACTGACCCATGCGTTAAAAAAACAGCAACTGTGTTTTCACCTGGGGTGTTTCGCCATAAAGTAAAGAAATTACTGCTTTATTATATTTTCTGCACTATTTATTTGCTATGGCCAGTTAGGATTAGCAGCACATCTAAACCTGAGGTGAAGACACGCAGTCATGTCAGGATACTGAGGTGAAATCTGCCTTTCTTTTATACTTAAGTGCAACACAATGATTCAACCACAAGCACTTAAACAGAAACTGTTTAAGTTATTTAGTAAAGGTTATTTAAAAAGGTTTCTTCACTGTTTCCAGTCTTTATGCTAAGCTATGCTAACTGCATTCCTGACTCCAGCTCCGTGCTCAACACACAGTTCAGATGAAAAGTGAAACAAAAGTGTGAAAACAAATCTAAAGACGCTGCAGACGACATCAACAGTCCACCTGCAGAACTACATATCAGCCAACTTTACATACATGACAAATAAGTGCTCCTGTATTTTTTATATATACTTTATTTATTTTTTTATAAGCTCAAAGTCACCACATACAGTTGAGTGTTGTCAGCATGAAAAAACAATCAAACATTATATTTATCTCATGTTTTCCACAAGGACACGCATGTAAACTAAAAACAACAGATGATCTAAAATTGCACCCTGTGGCACACCACAAGTGAGCTGTGCAGTAGAAACGTACTTGGACAATGAGTCCAGGATCTTACAAATAGATACTACAACTGAAGATTGTTTCAGATGTGATGAAGTCAGGTAACTGCTGAATAGTATTTCCTGTCTCTGGGGCAGCTGTGGCTCGAGAGGTAGAGCTGGTCGTCCACTAATCAGAAGATCAGCAGTTATATCACCTGCTCCTCCAGGTCACATGACAAAGTATCCTTGGGTAAGATACTGAAGCCTAAATTGTGAATGTCTAAAACTGAGTAGCAGGTGGCACCTTGTCTGGTAGCCTCAGCCACCAGTGGGTAAGTTGTAGTGCAAAAGTGCTATGAGAGGTCGGAAGACTAGAAAGGCACTAGACAAGTGCAAGTCCATTTACCAAGTCTATTCTCTTGACATGAGGGTCTGAACGCCAGGAATCAATTTTGGGAAACTGTATGTTCTATATCATACAGAGAAAACTGACAGTTGTGTCTCTTGTATCTTTACAGATCCTGGTTCTGGTTCTGGAGACGGAGACGGTGAGTTTTTTTCTTTCTCTCTTTGGGCTATTTAAAGATTTATTTAAAGATTTCAATTACAGCTGACTCTTTATCTGCCGTCCACACGCACTAACTGCTTGTATTGTGAGGAAACTAATCACTGCTGCAGTCTGAATGTAGCGTTTGAGGATCTTTTATTCTTCCTCTGTGTGTCTCTTTGTATCTCTACCCCCTCCCTCGTTGAATATTAACTCCTCTAATAAAGATTGTGTGGAGGTTTTCAGTCTCTGCATTAACTCCTCCCTGATGAATGGATTGATATTTTCCATCTCACAGTAGTGGAGCTGAAAGCATTGCCGCTGCCAAATCTGGCAACAGAGAAATTTTGTGACCATCTGTGAGCGCCGACCACAGTGTTTGTTGTTCGGTATGGCTGCTGGGGGGTTTTAATTGGAGGGGCCCTCCAGAGAGACGGTGTCTTCACCATCTGCACGTGCAGGGGGCTTCAGCTGAGTCGGCGAGCTGGTGATTCCCCTGCAGGCGATGTGCTGGTCGAGCCACAGAGATAAATTATTGAACCTGACTGAAGCTCACCACTCTATTTGTCTTTTACTCTCATAACATGAACACACCTGTCAGCTAAATGAAATCACCTGTAAACTGTTTCCTCTGAGAGAAAGAAAAACTTTAACAGGTTTGAAGCTCTGTGCGTCTCTCATCTGATACTACAATATAGATATTTTGTGATTTTTATTTCCTTAAAAATCTGCTGTTTGCAACCGGCAAATTTGTTACAACGTTTTTGATATTTATTTTTTTCACCATCATATATTTCATTCATTTGTATCATATCATACGAAAAACTGTGAAAAACTGTGCATACTGCACATCTTACTAATGTTATTTATATCCAGCAAGGATGTTTTAAAGGTCCAGTGTGCAGGATTTAGGGGGATATATTGGCAGAAATGTAATAATATATAATAATTATGTTTTCTTTAGTGTATAATGAACTGAAAATGTAAATCATTCTCTATTTGTTACCTTAGAAAGAGTCGCATATATATCTACATAGGAAGCAGGTCCTCGTCTACGGAGATCATCATGTTGCACCGCCATGTTTCTATAGTAACCCAGAATGGACAAACCAAACACTGGAAACATTACTGTTTTCACATTAGCCATCGTAGTTAGCAGCCCCTCCACAACGAGACGATCATGAAAACACAGAATTTTTGCTTTATCAAGTGTTTTTACTGTTTTAGATATCCCGGTCCATGAGTTTTGGAGAGGAAGAGATGTTTGTGGATAATTCAGCTCACAGTAAAAACCTCCTGAACAATGAAACCTGAAGGAATTCTAACCAGGAGAAGTTTCAGCTAGTTGCAATCTGCAATCCTCACCACTAGATGCCACTAAATCCCCTTAAATCTGACACAGCCCTTAATACTTTTTTAGTCTTCTACCGTCCACACCCAAATCTACACCTCTGGTACATCTTTTTAATACAGCAACAGTAAGTTTTAGGGAAATGTGATACAGCCAGAAGCCGATATACATAAAATTACTGTAACGGTATGTATCACAATAAACTAATTGTTATGAAAATTTCATTTGGTAATGGTTTAACCATAACATATTTATAATAAATTATTATTGAATAACTATACTGTATTTTATCACATTTGATGATTTTTTTTCAGGGTTTTATGTGTGTGAATTTCATTCTGTTGACTGTTCAGGGCATGTGGATGAAAGACATTTCAGAGAGAATGGACAATAAAGTCTCATCTTAGCTTAGCTTAGCTTAGCTTAGCTTAGCTTAGCTTAGCTTAGCTTGTCCTCCATACAAACAAAAAAACAGCTCACATGAGACAACAGGAGTTCAAAAAAGACTCAGAACATTAAAACTAAGATTCTTTCAAAATGGGGACTTTAAGTTTCCTGAGAACAATCATTTTAAGTATTACAGGTTTCTATATTTACAACTTCAATCTCATCCTCCATGTTGGCCCAAATGACGGTGGCTTTAGAGGCAGCTGGATTCGCAGGATCCCGGGAAAATCTAGCCCTGATTTGCTACCATAGATGTGTAATAATACCTGGATACTGGACTCCAGGATGGCTTCTGTTCATTCTAAAGAGTTGCTTTATAGCTTCCAGGTTTACTAATGCCGTATGAGGCCCACTGAATATGCGCAGTAGTGTTCCTCCTGCTGACTCCGCCTGCGAGTTCCTGCTCAGATCATAGACGTCACAGACTTTCAATCGCTTTTCTTGGTTTAAGGAAAGTGTCATAAATATAAAACCTAAACACATTCTCACATATCGACATTTGGTCATGGACTTGGGTGGACCCTGGGTGCGTTGCTTGTTGACGTTCTGGGACGCTGTGTCAACAGTCTGTTACATGCATCGTCTGATTTCAAAATACGCTTCAGTTTTCACATGAAATGTACAGTTTGCATACAGTCGTTTTCAAAATAAAAGCACTAAGTAGGTACAACACTGTGAACTGACACAGGCCAACACAGGCATGTGGTTGGGTTTAGGAAAAGAGAGCAGGGTTAGACTTTACAATCTTATAGGAACTGAACATCGGCCTCCTGGGTGAAAGTCAGTGGTTGTTGGATCCATCCACCAACACTCCCACCTACCCTACTCGGACTACCACCATCATAACTTTTGTTGTTTTCCTGTCGCGTTTCTCCCTGACGCCGCTGGACACCAATGAACAGTACCAGTGACTGGCCGCATATCATGCAGACGTAAAAGAACAGCTTTTTTGTCGCTGTCTGATGCCAGAAGTCTGATCAAACACATGTTTTCGACGACTTCAGAGTGAGAGACGGGGTTGAAAACTTCCATCGATAAAAAATTCACAATAGAAAGAGTCCTAATTGACCTTGTTTGCAGTTCAGCTGGTATGTTTTTTGCTGCAGTATTGTGAGTGGCCACTGGGACAAAATGGGAGCAAGGCTGAGCAGCATTCCTGGCAGTCTGTTTGCTACGTAGCCTGTGCGGAATAGCTCCCCAGGAGAAACAGTAGTGCCAGATCTCAACTAATGGATACGTTTCTAGCATCACCTGGTATACACCATCATGTGGACCAAGTTTTATTATCCATTTTTAATTTTAAGGATTCCATCATAGCAAACTGTAGCAAACAGATATTGTTAAACCCACAGAACTTTATTTTAAATCAAAGAGAGTTCCTGAGGTTTCCAAAATCTGTCTGGCTTCATTTTCAGACGTGTTAAATGTTTTTTAGTTTGACTGAGTTGAGCAGACATTTAAAACGTGGAGTCTTTACTTACAGAGAAACGTTTGGGTGATGCTGGGGTGTAGCTGTGCTCGGCTTCTGTTCTGATCCTTTAACCTTTTCAGTTGACATCTCATTAACCTTCTCCTGCCTCCATAATGTGAGCTGTGTTGAGTCGTCTCCATGTTGAGCCGCAGTGCCTCACAGTAACTGATGACATCTCACAGCAGAATAAAAACCTGCTTCTGGTTGATTTGTTTTCTGAAGCTGATCTGTCTAAAGAATGTTCTTCTTTTAGTCTGAGCTTTGAACACTCATCATCACCATCATCATCATCATCGACATAGCCGTGTGCTGCTGGTTTGTAGCTTTGGATTAAAGCAAACAGCTTTTTCCCAGCAGAGGGTGAAGTCATGAAGAAGTCATACAGTGATGATGTCAGAGGGAGACAGGATTCACAGTGTGAGAGTTTAAATGGAAAATGATCAGTGGTGGAAGGTTTTCTGCTGCACTTAAAGTTATTTTTATTCAGGATAAGAGCGCAGAGATGCTGCCACAAAGATTCAAACATTAACTGTTTGACATTCGACTTTATGCAAGAAAATTATCATCCTGAACTGTGCTTAGGTTCAGTCTCACAAAGCATTATAGACTCTCACGCCTTCTTCAGATTGCAATCCCAGCCCACCCCCAGATCTGTTTCTTGGCATGTCTAGATTGTATCCAGATTGACTTTAGAAATTGTGGACAGCAAAAAAAACCACATGAAATTAGATTTTTGCAGATTGGATCCAAACTACATTCAACAGACGTGTGTCAGTCTGAACGTTTGGCCCCTCAGATCGGATATTTCAGTGTCTTTGCGTCACTCGCAGCGTGACACACAATGACGATGTCAAATCCAGTCTGACAGAAGTGCTGAACAGAATTCATGCTGTTACTTGCAGAGCACTACGGAGGACAAGATGGAGAGCAACAGTTCATGGACAGATGCCGGAATAAATAAAAATAACCAACCCCGACATGACTGCTCGATTGTTTGGAGGGCGAAATGATGGATCTCCATTTCTCAAGCTTCTGCACTGGGAAGTTGCATCATTAGCAATTTATTTCAAGAAAACTTCAGAGGACACTTTTAAATGCACCAACTACTGTAGGGCTGCACCTCAGTCAGAATCATCCAATTATCTGACTTTTCATGGCGGTTTAGGAGACAGCCCCAGCACAGTTTTGTGTAAAATGTCTTGTTCCATGAGATTTCTGTCAGGGATGCACCGATTTATCAGCAGTACATTGATATCGGCGTATGTTCTCCTCGCCGCCAATGCCTATCGTCAAATAGGATGGCATTCACTGGTGGCGTTGGCCAATGTTTGTCTGTTGTGTCACAACACTTTTGCACAGACTAAAGATCAGAACTCCAGATTAGCAGCTGAAATTAACCACTGATGGAAGTTGTGTCAAGTTACATTTTGAGGCATTAAAGCTCTATTCACTAAAAAGTAATATTTGGCAAAGGTAAATTATAATCTTGTAAGATGTAGTTTTTGGCAAGAAATGTGTCAACCTTTTTAGAGCAATATATTATTAGAGATATTAGAGAGAATTACAACCAGGGCTCCCTCGAATACCAGCGCTCGGTCAGTGACTGCCGGCGTCAGACACAAATAAATCCATCATTTCACTTTGGCATGATATGCGGCTGGTCGCTCTTATTGTTTAATGGCACCTGGCAACGTCAGGGGGAAACGTGGCGGGACAATAACGTGAGTCTGAG